AACTCTCACACACTCGACTTACACTCACTGACTTTGTAACACTCACTGATTTTGTCATACTTTGCGTGGCAGGCGCAGTACTTTCTGCACTCCGACGCTGTTTCGCGTGGCAGGCGCAGTACTGTATTTTACCTTGCGAAGGTTGGCCGCCGTGGGGCGGCGGTCTTCTTGCGTGGCAGGCGCAATGCTTTCTGCACTCCGATGCTGTTTTCGCGTAGCAGGCGTATTGCTCTCTGCAGTTTTGCGTGGCAGGCGCAGTACTTTGTAATACCTTGCGATGGTTGGCCGCCGTGGGCCGCCGTGGGGCGGCGGTCTTCTTGCGTGGCAGGCGCAATACTTTCTGCGCTCCGATGCTGTTGCAGGCGCAGTACTTTATATTACCTTGCGAAGGTCGATGGCCGTGGGCCGCCGTGTGGCGGCGGTCTTCTTGCGTGGCAGGCGCAATGCTTTCTGCACTCCGTGATTGAACAAATAGACGGGCTGCGCCTGCCACGCAAGAAGACCGCCGCCCCACGGCGGCCCGCGGCGGCCAACCTTCGCAAGGTAATAAAAAGTACTGCGCCTGCCACGCCGAAGCGCATCGGAGTGCAGAGAGCACTGATCCTGCCACGCGAAAGCATCGGAGTGCAGAAAGTATTGCGCACGCAAGAAGACCGCCGCCCCACGGCGGCCCACGGCGGCCAACCATCGCAAGGTGTTATAAAGTACTGCGCCTGCCACGCGAAACTGCAGAGAGCAATACGCCTGCCACGCGAAAACAGCATCGGAGTGCAGAAAGTATGCGCCTGCCACGCAAGAAGACCGCCGCCCCACAGCGACACCCACGGCGGCCGACCTTCGCAAGGCAAGTACTGCGTCTGCCACGCGAAACAGCATATTCCGCACGGCGGCCCACGGTGGCCAACCTTCGCCAGGTAACATAAAGTACTGCGCGTGCCACGCGAAGCAGCATCGGAGTGCAGAGAGTACTGCGCCTGCTACGCAAGAAGACCGCCGCCCCACCGCGGCCCACGGCGGCCCACGGCGGCCAACCTTCGCAAGCCTTCTTCTCCCTGTCTCTGTCCCTCTCTATCCCTGTCTCTCTCTCTCTCTCTGTCTCTTTCTCTCTCTGTGTCTCTGTCTCTTTCTGTCTCCCTGTCTCCTTCCTGTCTACGCCTCTACAGAAAAAGGGCACGCTTAGGACCTAGCTGTTTTTTTCTTCTCTCTCTCTCTCTCTCTCTGTCTTTCTGTGTCTCTCTTTCTCTCTCTCTCTCTCTCTCTCTCTCTCTCTCTTTGTCTGTCTCTTTCTCTGTCTCTTTCTCTGCCCCCTGAGTTGACTACTGGCTTTCGTATTGATTTCCCCTTCATGTCCTTTTCACGTTTCTCATGATGTCCTGGTCATGTCCCTTCCATTCCTTTCAACTCCCCCTTCATGTCCCTGTCATTTTCTTGGTATGTCCACTTCATTTTCCATGCATGTCCCGTTCTTTCGTTGCGAGTCAGTTCCCTACATCTCCCGTCGTGCCGATTGGTTGCCTTGTCCTTTGTTTCCCGTTCATTCCCCCTGCACTCCCCTTGTTTTCATTTCTGTCCCTTTCATGTCCCTTTCAGTTCCCCTTTGTTTCCCTTTCATATCCCGTTGCTTTCCTGTCATTTCGACTTCCTATTTTTTCTCTCATTTCCTTGCACTTCCTTGCATTTCCCCTGTGCTCCCCAGCATTTTTCCAGCGTTTTCGCAAAGAGGACGTCCAAAAACACAGAGTTTTTCCAGATTTTCGGCAAAAGGAGACAGAGCCGGCAGGGGGATTCGAGCCTGGGACCCCGGCTCCCCGAAGACTACGTTTAGCGGAACGTCATCAAACACCCCCCCTCCCCTTGTACCCTACGGATCAGACGGCGGCGGGGGGGGGACAGGGAAAGGGTATCCTCTATCCTCTCTTATGTGTCCGACACGCCGAGCAATGTCGGCGGATATATAGTACTACGTCTGGCATGCGAAACAGCATCGGAGTGCAGACAGTATTGCGGCAGTATTGCACCTGCCACGCAAGAAGACCGCCGGCCCACGGCGGCCAACCTTCGTAAGGCAATATAAAGCACTGCGCCTGCCACGCGAAACAGCATCGGAGTGCAGAAAGTACTGCGCTTTCCGCGCAAAGTATGACAAAGTCAGTGAGTGTTGCTGAGTGTGTGAGACTTAGTGTGGCAAAGTCAGTGAGTGTAAGTCGAGTGTGTGAGAGTTAGTATGACAAAGTTAGTGTGGCAAAGTCGTGTGAGTGTGTGAGAGTTAGTGTGGCAAAGTCAGTGAGTGTAAGTCGAGTGTGTGAGAGTTAGTATGACAAAGTTAGTGTGGCGAAGTCAGTGAGTGTAAGTTGAGTGTGTGACAGTTAGTTGGCAAAGTCAGTGAGCGTAAGTTGAGTGTGTGGGAGTAAGTATGACAAAGTCAATGAATGTAAGTTGAGTGTGTGCGAGTTAGTGTGGCAAAGTCAGTGAGTGTAAGTTGAGTGTGTGAGAGTAAGTGTGACAAAGTAAGTGAGTGTAGGTTGAGGAGGCGGAGGCGGCGGAGGAGGAGTACGCGTCGAGGACGCGGAGCACGCGGAGACAACGCGCGAGACACGGGCGAAGACAGTAAAAACAAGAACCCCGCACAATGATGTGGGGAAAAAGGAAAAAGTTCAATCGGCTCTCCGGCCCTGCATTCAGTGCCCCCCTCCGGTAGCTAGGTGGATGTGACTCTATGGCTGAAGATCTTGTGTGGCCCAAGCATGGCTGAGACAGGTTTACCCCTTGGGTTCTGGAGCCACGACTCAGTATCCAAGCCTCTCGCGGCAAAAGTTCTCGCCAAACGTTGGGGATGGGTGCTGGCGGCCGTGTCTCAGGGGTTTTGTGGCCAGGGACCCCCGAAGTTGCCATTTGCCACTGCACTTCAAAGTGACTCCACAAACTCATCTTGGCATGTGTTGCACCATCTGCTAGTTCACGCATTCCTAACAATTAAGTAGCCCTTGGTCAGAATGGAAATAGGTTCACCACAATCTTGACGAAGGCAGGCTGGAGCGATAAAGGGCCCTGAAATGCGGCGTGGAACATATCATGTTCTGGTTTTGTTTAAATTGGTATCCCCTGGAACCTGTTTCAGAGCCCCCAAACAGGATTGGCTAAGCTTCCATAGCTGTTGGGGGGAAATTGGGCGACTCCCATGTTGACAAACCGATGACAAACTTTCTGGGAAGCCTCCCCGCCCTCTCCATCGGAAGGGCGGGCACGCTTCATTATTAGGCGTGGGCTTGAAGGATGGCAGCTGAACGCAGCTGTGCGGGTTTGAACCGCGTGCGGCTCAGGCCACAGTGGAGGAAGTTTGGCAAGTAATCCAAGAGGAAGCTTGGCTGAACTTGGCTATTCGCTCGGTTTGTTTGACCCTTCATACCGTTAAAGGGTGAGAAACAGTTTTTGTTGGGCCTCGCAAATTTTGAGACATATTTGGGGTTGTTTCCTTTTCTGTTCTTTTTGTTTTTGGCAAGAAGGATCGCTGAGAATGGAGTTCACCCTGAAATCAAGTCGCTCGCGAAGTCTCCTGAGGGGTTGTTTCTTCCAAGTGAATGAGCCACCCGCGTGGGGTGTGGTTCCGTTTTGTTTGGGGTTTGTACTCTTTCTGTCCCCCTTGATTTCTCTTAATTGCCTAAATGCTAGGGCCCAATATCACAGGCTCGCTTCAGGCCTTGGCAAAGAGTCAACAAGTTTTGTGGGCGTTTTCCAGTGAGGCGGGGGGCATGACACTCCAGGGGGCTTATGACGCCCGTCCGATCTTATTTTGCATCTAAAGGTTGACTAACAATGAAACAGAGCCGAAAGTCTTGTCTCCGCACCTTACATGGTTGGGTCAAGGCTTGCCGTGACACCCCGAGGAGGGGGCTGCCCATGGGAAGGGAGCCTTAGACAGCCAGGAACGTAAGAAGCCAACGACCTCAACAAAGTGGTTGCCAAATAGCCCCAATTGTCCAACACAGGGGGTGTGTGCCATGGTGGGGCAAGGGGGGGATTGCTGCGGGCGGCCGCCGGAGGTTGAGCCGTTTCTGGACTGGTTGCCCGAGTTCTGGGCGCGGGTTCTGACACTGCCAACGCCCCCCTGCAGCAAAAGCCTTTCGCTGAGGCAGGGGTTCTGCCTACGCCAGAAAGGAGGGCCTGGAGCCTTTTATGTGTATTTTGGCATTTCGACTGGGTGCTAAATAGTGAATTTTTCCTCAAGGGAAACTGGAAGGGGATGAGGAAACACAAATAGTTCCCCCGGACACCCTTGGCAGATCCAAGACCAGCCAATTCGGTTCAGCGGGAAAGCAAGGGCGTCCCACCATTTTGACACATTTTCGCGATTTGTGCATGTCATTGTGCAGAGGAATGAAGCAAGCTTGAACCTAAAAAAGGCCCACTGTGACAGTGCGAAGGTCCTGTCGGGCAGCCTCTACTGTCTTTGGCTGTTCAATTTAGGAATCCAAACAGCACACTGCAGCACACCCCTTGCCTCTTGAGTTGGCAGATTTGTTCCTCGTTGGTATATTCTCCTCATTTTGCTCGAGGCCAGCAAGTTTAGCTGCGTGCAAGATAGCCCAGTTGAACAAAAGGAAGAAACAACTGGTTTCGATGGTAAAGACAAGTTCCCCTAAATCAGCCCACAATTTCAATATGTCCCAAAGGAAACTAAATGCGAAAGGTATTTGTTCAAGCCGCACTATTTGACATCCCGGTTTTGAGATACAGCAAAGCTGTGTTCAAAATTGGGTCCTGTTTTAACAAAATAAAGTAATGATATCCTGAAAATTAGTCAGTCCACTATGAGGGCAAGCAGCCCTGATAGAATTTGAAGCTGACACGAGCCAGATTCCAAGCTTGTTTGTTTTAACTCTCTTTTCGAACATCATCGAAGTGGGCAGGGGCCTTCGTGTTGTGTAAAGCCACTTGATCGTCAGCCTGCGTGACTGGAGGGAGGGTGCTAACAAGGCTCGCAGTCAGATGGCTTGGAAATAGAAGAGAGTATGTCAGATGTCAGTATGTTTATCATGTCAACAGCGTTTTAGCTTATCTCGACTGTGGAGTAGCTATTGAGGAAACTGAGAGATAATAAGTGTCCCTATCTTTCGCAGGTATTCTACAAAAAGATACGGTAGATCAAAAACCGACAGTTTCTGTTTTATGTATTTGGTTGTGCAATCGTTTTATCTCTTGTGAAACCGTTGTTTGTTACTTTTTAGCTTTAGTTATGTGTTGTTCTTTTTTTGGTCAGTTTAGATAGCGTGGCATACTTACGAAGCGACACTGCCAAGCCATTAGCACCATGAGCAGCGTGATCGTGAGTGGCTTCAGAGGAGGTTTGCGAGTAGCTGCTCGCCAGATGGTCGCTGGGGCATGCCTTCTTGCAAAGGCATTTTCTAGCAGCATTCCCGAAACCACATCCTCAAACAAAAATCCAGAGTTCTTCCGAAACTTCGCCAGCATGATTGCGTATCTCTCAGATGAGGTTTTGGTTTTTTGGGAGATAGCTTTTCCCTCTGCAGTCTGGCTCTGCCGCAAACGGCTTGATGTCCTCATATATGTCATCAATTTGCCAAGTCTCATCCTGTCCTCTTGTCCGTCTGCTTGGCGCAGAAACCTGAGATGATCTCCTCCGGCTTCGGCTGTCGTCCGACCACATCCGGCAGAACCTGGACGTTAGTGCGAGCGAGGTGCTGTGGCTCCAGGCTGAGAGGTTGGGACTCGTGATCCGTTTGATTGCAGGGCGCTCTGGCTCCAGTTTCTCATGCTGGTCAAGACGCCCGCAGACCGTCCGTCTTTTCGTTCGCTGCTGAAAGCAGTAATCTCTTCGTGGACCCGGGCGAGTCGCGTTTTGTGATCCCCAGCTTCTGGATTGCTACGGCCTCAATGCTCCTTTTGGTCTAGTGCGGATCGCAGCAAAAAGTAGGCATATCATACGACCATTTTATCTTTCGCTCGCGGGCTCATCGGTTATTGTGTGCTTTTCGGCCGACCGATTATTTTTCATTATGTTGTTTGTTTTATCTCTTTTTTCTTGAAAAATAGTTTTGTTCCTCTCCTTTTTTCGTTTTAAATTATCTGTTTCATCTTTAGTACCTTCCTAGTAAAAAAAAACAAAGTAGATACAAAGTTTAGACTACTGTAGGTCTCCAGTATCCAGACTATCTACTTGCTTTTTCCTGAAATCTGAACTATCTTGCCACGAGCCTTCTAGTATAACGTTGTATGTTTAAGTTGAAGCAGCTTTTACCGTGTTTTCTTTGTGCCAACAGTACGGGATCCTTGGATTAGGTTTTTAACATGCTTTTTCCCCAACAGCTGAAAGCTAAAGGGTCTCAGCCCAGATAGGTTTGGGGGTGGTTGGGGGAGCTCTCGAGCAAGGTTCCGGAGGTTCCGGGGTGGTTTGGTGCAGGCAGGTTCAAGCGGAGGTTGCGAGGTGTAAGCTTCGAGCAAGGTTCTGGAGGTTGCGGTGTGGTGTGGTGTAAGGTTTAGGGAAGGTGCCGGAAGTTCAAGCACGGTTTTGCAGGTTACGGGAGGTTTCGGAGGTTGCGGGGTGCTCTGGCTAGGCAAGGTTCCAGAGGGGTGGTCTGGTGCAGGCCATGACAGGTTCAATCAAGGTTGTGGAGATTCCGGAGGTTCCGGGTGGTCTATTCTGGGGGGATGCGCGGGCAAGGCGGCTCTGAGGTAAGGTTCGGCCAGGTTTCTGCAGGAACGCACCGGGCGTCCATGCAATCCGTACGTCCGCGTGCTGTGTAGGACCTTTCGCATCTGCAGAACCCCTACGGGTGTGGTGCTGTTGGGGATACTATGTGGGCTTTTTCACACGCATGTCTTAAAACAAATTGTTTGGTTCCCCCCTTCTTGAGAGAGGGACCCCTTTTGGCTGAAACCAACGCAACCAACCCTCTTTCGGAGCGGCAGGTCCTTGGCCAACTGGGTGGGCGCCTACAACCGTTGGCAGCGCATGGGCCAATGGACGCCAGGGCAAGCGCCGTGCCTCGTTTGCACGCGCAGACCGGCTCACGCGAGTCGCTAAATATTTGGGTATGTGTTTCTTCGGGGTTCCCTGGGTCGCTTGCTGTCCCATGTCAACTTGTGTGTCGTTAAATGAGTTTCCTTTTCGAATCACGTTCAAAGAGAAACAGTGTATACATGGGAGTCGTTTGAAAGGTCCTTGTGAGGAGTTGAGTATTCGGAGACCATCGGTGTTGGTAGAAGTACCTCCGCGAAAGATTCGCGATTGAGTTGCGAGAGTAACTTTGTCGCGAAAGTTTTGCGTGACGGTCATGTAGCTGCGTAACTTGTGAAAGCAGTGCATCTTTTCTGTTGAGCCTTTCTTCTATAGCTGTTTTAAGTCCTTTGATTTTGTGCTGATAAGCCGAGGCTACAACTTTTCAGAGGGGTAGTACATAATATACAGGTGTACATGAAATGCACTTTCGCTTCGCAGCTGGAAAGGCCCAACCTCGCAGTACCAGTCGTACCAGTACCCAACAGTCACTTCCGCAGAAAGTACCTCCCCCAATCGAAGCACGGGCTTTCGCAGATCTTTCACAACTCATCCACGGTTCAGGGCGCTCACCAGCCCAGCAGGGTATCTTGCGTGCTACACTGGTACAGCGAAGGCTGCGGCTTTCTGACTTTGAAAAGTGCTCGTCGATGAAACCGCGAAAGATTCGCGAGAGTAACCTTTTCTTCCTTACGAAGAATGGCCGTTTCGAGACAAAGGAATTTAGAACAATCGCCACATATAAGTTGTGTATAGATGGGGAGTGCCCTTTGTTGTGGTACCAATGGAAACATTTCGCGGGGTCCCATAGCAACACATACCCATGGAGTCCCTTCAAGTGGTTCCACTTTGAAGGGTTCTCCAAACTTTTGGGAAGTTTGGTCACGAGTCGCAAAGGGGCCCAAGCTAATCCTACACTGCTTTCAGGATAAGCATGATAAGCCACATTTGTCCGATCGGGAGCCCACAATTTGGTCCGTTAAAGCGGCAGAGATTTGGTGCTCGCAGAAATTCGTTGGGGATCCGTTGGCAACTATCTCCCAGGAAACGCACTGTGAGCGATTGTAATGTGGCCGCAAACCATTTTGTTAACTCCCAGACCATCCAAGTCGAGTGCGTCCGCTTTTGGAGTGGCTGCGTTTTTTTGAATGGACACCCAAGGGAAACCACTTATTTTTGGGGTGGGTGCCTGATTTGACAACCCGGATTTGTCATATTCACCAAAGCAAGCTTTCCCTTGGATTGATGCTTAAAGAGGGAAAGCAGGGAACCCTGTTCTCTGAAGTGTCTATTCTGTACCAATGATGGAACACGAGTCATTTTCAGGATTGCCTTTCCGAACCCCCTTCGCTTCCGTTGGCCATTGTTGGACGTAGACTCACCTGACATGGTCCCCTACAGAAGAACCAACAGGATATTGTTTGAACAAGGGTGTTAAACATGTTGAAACAAATGTTTGACACTGCTTGTTGAGCCAATGCTAATAGAGTTTGCCTTTGCCAGTGTATGTTTGAAGGCAACAGCGACAGGAAGGCCGAAAAAAGATACAGCCAGCACCACCCGCAAATGGTGAAGGGATAATCCCAAGCATAGGTGTGGACATCCGCCCTCTCAATTCTTTACCTGGCCTTGGGTCGAGCGCTTTAAGGCATTCCTCGCTTCCGACTGGGGGTGATGGGGCGGTATCTGGGAGGGTGGCACACACCCTGTAACTCCCAGGCTGTACATGAATGCCTTTGAGATGCAGGACTGATGCACTTCAGTCACCGGGCTCGAAGGCCGAAGGATGCCGCTATGGTTTTGATGGGTGTGCTTTTCTAATCCAAAATATTCCGGCAAGAGACGCTGGATACTGGCAGCCGAGTCAGCTGTCCCCCGTCTTTTCCGAACGGGATCCACACCGTGTCGCTCTGCTTCACGTCAACGTGGAGTGCTGAATTATTTGCTGTCAACCTTGTGCTTAAAACTTGCAGCAAGAGCGATTTGTGACCGAAATTGACTTTCTGTGTGCAACATGCGCAGCACCGCCTGGAAAGCATCGAATTCTGGCTCACAGCCAGGCACGGATAAACTATCTTTTGCCACCAGTGTGCAAAGCTGCTAGGCACTGATATCCACGTATGTACATGAGTCAGCTTCAAAATGACATTCATTTACTTTATGTAGGAGCGTTTCATGCACATGTTGTTTTTCGTGTTTTTCCCGAACAAAAACATCCGTCCAAGAAAAGATGCCCCAAAACCTGAGAACAAGAAAACGATATGGGACATCCTAACTTCGGAATGAATGCACCCAACAACTAACTGACTTTGACGATCTTTGACGCAAACTCATGTGTATGTGTGTATATGTATATACATAGATGTGTTATGCACATTGTCCTCGTTACCAACTCGTTACCAAGATCGAACCTCTTCTGGCCACCCCCCACACGAATTATTTTCCGTGCAGCCCCGAGGATGCGCCGAGGATTCAGACTTGTCCTAAATCGGCAAGTTTTGATCAGGGCGTCCTCTGAAATAGTTTAAGTTTGGGTTGAAGCTTGGGTTCCTTTAAACCAACGCAATGGGTACCCCAACAAAACACTCGCTCGTGCGCTAGGAGATGCTGGCCCTTCCCATGCCGAAAGCCTGCGGCTGAGTTCACCCCCAGATCTGAATGGGACACCGGGGCCAGGGTTCCGAAAGCCCTCTTGTGTAGAGGGCCGCAAACTCAGCCATGATGATGAAGAGGAAAAGGATGAAGAGGATGATAGTGATGATTCTGCTGATGAGGAGGAGGAGAATGAGTATGAGTACGAGTATGAATATGAGTATGAGTATGAGTACGAGTATGAATATGAGTATGAGTATGATGCTGCCGACATTGTGTTACTAGAGCCAGAATGCGTGTATATATATATACATATGTGCCATGGTCAAAGACCAGTTTGTTTGGGTTTGGTAGGGATGCTTATGGACCTCTTTGGGATGTAGACCGCCAGTGTGACGGTTGTGCGAGCCGTGTCATGCATAAAGGCAGAGAAAACAACTAGCAACTGGGAGGGGAGATTGGGGAAGGTCACGTCCATTGGAGGCCTATATTTGCTGTTGCTCCGAGGCCGCTTCGTAAAGGCTTTCAAATTGTGGTGGTTCGACTTTCCCGGGAGCCAAAAGTCAAGGTCCAAAGTTGAGACTGAGATTTTCCGATCTAAAGGGCTTTTGGGAGCCGTCGAATTCATAGTAGTAAAACGGGCGAAGTAAGTACACGCAGTACGAACCTATGAACATAGCTTAACTTGACTTTTATATACCCCGACAACCCCAGTAAAACCATTAATTATGGCCCTTGGAGTAGGACCGTTTGAGGAAACCCTTCTACCAAGAATCGTGGTTTGATACACTGTCCCGTCCCCTTTCAGAAGATGACGTTCGTGGAAAGGTTCTGCGCACTTCCTTTGGGGTAAAAGCGATGTTCAATTCCTGCAAACGGGCTTCCACTGTTTACAAGGGAGTATATTTACTGAATGGGAAGCACATGGAAGTCCAACCCCCTTGCTCATGCTCTTCAAAGGGGGGCCCTAGTAGTTCAGAAGGGTCTATTCTTCTGCTTCACAGGGTATACCTCAACAAAATGATCAAACCACCTTGGGTCAAGACATGTTAGAAGGGCTCCCTTGTTTCCCTTCACCCACGAATGTTCTACCCTCTGCCGTTTCGGTCGAATTGGAGCAACCTTGAGAGTTTGGGGCACCTGTTCTCCACGCATACAAAGCCTTCCCGCTGAAAAGCAAAAGAACACATTTTAACTTTAGACAACACCGATGGTCAACGTCACCCCCCAAGTGATAGGGTAAAGAGAAACAACCGATGCCAGTTGCTCTGACTTTGGTACCCCCTAGACACAGTGAGAATAATGATCCCAGCAAGCCTTTTATGAGGCCGGTATGAAGCCCCTAAACTTCTTACCAACTTGCGCCGTCGTCCAGCTACTCGCCCGGTGTGCATTTGCTCAGTTTGATATGCAGCTGCTGAGATGCGCGCGCCAAAGGGACACCAAAAGGAAACCAGTTTTGGAGGTCCAACCCTATTTTCACATCTGTCAAACTGTTCAGTGTCGTTTGTTTGTCAGGTCCTAGAGTTTGTCAAGCTCTTCGACCCTGCGGGCTACGAGCGAGTGAACTCCATCAAGTCGCCACAAGACTACGCCAAGGTACTCTTCAGAAAATATCCCCCAGGGATCTAAGTCTTTAAGTCTTTAAGTAGCTTCCTTTAAATTGGTTGCAGTTCGGGTTGTCAAAAGTCTGCCGAATTTACGACAGACTCAGCGATTCGGGGGTACAACGAGCTCGCCATGATGTAGGTCCGTTACTGGGGCATCCCTCAAGCTTTGTAAACCACCATGGGTAAGGTTTGAGGGTGCCGTGCGGAGTTGACGGATGTAAAGAGGGTCCTTGGCACGCTAGCTGGCTGTTTCTGTTGGGAATTTCACGTCCTTGACCCTTTGTAGCCTTCGCAACCGTTGAGCTAGCAAAATAAGCAAACCTTGGCAACATGTTATAGTCTTTTCCAAATCCTTGAGCCTCCTTGCTTGATGTATACTGGGAGAGTCGTATTTTTGAGGGCTCCCTTTTTGGCTTGTTGTAGATGGTCCAGACGAAACCACTTTTTTTGTCGTGCCCCGTTTTGAGTCAAATCCATAGGATTCTTGTCATTTGGAAGGTGAAACAGAGTGTGCCGCTAGTACCACCCAGTATCGAGTCAACTGTTAAACCCTTACGGCCTTAAGGGCATGTCCTTGGCTTATTCTATAGGCACTAGCAGGGATAGGCACCTCCCTATACCCTCATTTGGACGTCCACAAAACTGACTGGGTGGATTGCCTTAGGCCACCACTCTCCCAAGATCTTATAGCTCACAAAACCGTGTCGGCCGTTTGAGTAGGTGGCTCTGATACTTTGCTTAGCGGGCAAAGCAGTAGGGCCACGGAAACCTTTATGACCATGTTCCTAGGGCCAAAGGCCAATGGGTTTTGGGCGCTCACATGGGTGCATGTATTTGAGGGCGATTATCCTATGGGCAAAGGAAAGCCACCAGGTTTGGAGGTTTGGTGAAAAACACATTCGCAGATTGAGAGAGACGGAGATGCATTGAGAGTTCTTGATTGGGTCTTTGTTAAAGCCAGGAAACCCGTGTAATTTTAACAGTTTCAAAGGAAACCACACATGCAAATGAATTGTATTCATCATTTGGAAGCGTCCGTGCAACTGACAGGTTGCACTTTCGTTTGAGCCAAAATCCAATCCTGGGCGGAGGTCAGCACAGAGCAATTCCGTTCACAAGTGGAAGCACCTGCTCTTGCGATTATTGTGCCTTGGTCAATTAACCTGTTTACCGTAGGATTCCCACTATAAGAAAATTCTAGGCCCCGCATGCGGCTTGACAACTGCACGTCACCTCGGATGAAGCTCCTCCGGATTTGTAAGGGTATTGTCCTCCTTCAGGTTTTATGAAAATAACTTTGACATTGTCTGAGTTTTTCAGTATTGGGTTACGTACTCAAGTTTGCCCAAGCTTTTTTGGGGACCCGTCATTTTTGACCTAGCAGTCGTTGAGCCTACTTTGCGCCTGGACTCCCCTCCCAAAAGAAAAGATAATATTTCCTGCCAAAGAGCCAAACAAGACCTGAACACTTGTTTGGGCAAAGCAGAGCCAGATAAGGCCTTCATAAAGTTGTTGTGTTTGCAAGATGCAAACAAGCCTCGCCAGTTTTTCGTGTTCGTCAAAACACGTCAAAAAGATCTTAAACTGTTGGGCTTGTTTGGTATTTGGGGCAAGTTAAGCGTCCGTGTTCGCAGGTGAAGGTTTCAGTACCTGCGTTCCTGACCACCTGCATCATGATGTCTGCCTCCATCTCCAAGAAGCAAAAGATGCGCTTCTTGCTAGGCACCCGCAGTGAAGCCAGAGGCGAAGACCTTTCCATGGGCCCTGGCCCCAACGAAATCCCTGTGGGTTGCTCCTTTGGCCGTTCCGAATGATCAAAAAACCATGAAACACAGATGTGTCACCCTTAGAATTGTGGTACCTGAAATGGGCCCTTTTTGAGGTGCCAAAAAACATGAAGATCCAGATGGAGCATACAGTTCCTGCGCTTACCGATCCGGGGACAAAACCAGCGATTTTGCTCATGACGAAGTTCCTTTGCTCGAGGAGTCCTTATTTCTGTTGTGTTCTACGGTTTAGAAATTATCGCAATGAGCCCAGATCCTCTTTTGAGCGCGACGCAGACCAAAAAGTGGGTGTATCCTGGGACAGATTGAACATGGAGAGCAAGCATGTTTGGGGTGCCCTCTTTCTGAAAACACACAAATCATTGAGATGTGTTTTTCTCTTGGTTTTGTTTGGCGGCGTTGCTGTGTTCCTCTTGATCTTTTTTTGGGATGGCTGCCAAAATCCTTTTTTTTTGAAATCGACCCCTTCATTAGCGAGGAGTTCATGTGGGTGCCGTGTACATAAGCCAACAAAGGTTCCTAGCTTTGAAATGATATGGGCGACAAATGGGTGCTTGGACCACTTGTGTGTTCATTTCGAGAACAGGTCGAATCCCACGTTTGAAACGCAGGCATGTTTCTCGAAGACAGATGCCGCATGGGCACCGTGTAGGTTCGATTGTGATGGTTGTGCATCGGACCTTGGCGAGGCCAGTAGGACATATATATATATATGCATACAACTTGCTCAGAACATCATTTGCTGGGAAATATGGAGTTCAGCCTTTCGTTAAGTTTGCCAAACAGGATGTGAGCAGAATGTAATTGCAGAACCATGCATGATGATGCAGTGCAATCATATAAATCACATGGCGTTCAATGCTTTCTGACCATTTTACAGCACCAGAACCACTCAAGGGGATCCCATCATTTTTGATGGCGAGCCGAGGGTCCTGCTTGTTCATTAACTTAGGTTTTAACCATAAGCATAGTTATACGCGGGACAACAGGGGTTGAACATCCAAGTTGGCATTTACTTTTCGGAAAATGGACCATGGTTGCAACCCTCTGAATAAATTAAACCTCCACATTTACATTCATTTGAAGGGCCAGTGTTCTGGGGCTTTGGAGGGGTAAGGTCTGACCAACCCTAAACCTCAACCCTAAAAACCCAAACCCCAAACCCTGAAGACACTAACCCTAAACCATAAAAAGCCCAAAAACCGCAACTCCAAACCCTCAAAACACTAACCCTAGACCTTATCCACCTAAAGCTAATCTCTCAAACCCTAACCCTAAAGTCAACCTCGAAAACTTGCTTGCTTGTGCGCTTTCTTTTTTTTGTTGGCCGAGAAAGAGAGACAGAGAGAAAGGGAAAGCAGAGAAAAAGAGAAAGAGAAAGACGAACAAACAATGAAGAGAAACAAAAAGAGAAAGACTAAGAAGAGAGAAAGCAAAAGGACAGGAGAGAGCGAGAGAGAGAGAGAGAGCGAGAAAGAAGAAGAGAACGATCAAGAGAAGATCAAGATAAGATCGAGAGTTAAATTCAGAAGAGAAAGACAATAAGAACAGAACGACAATAAGAACAGAAAGACGAAGAGCAAGGGAGGAGAAGGACAAGGAGGAAGAGAAAGAGCGACATATGAAGAGGAAGAAGAAGGAGAGAAGCAGAAAGGATAACATCATGCAGGGGAAAGCAAAATCAGATAGGAAACATGAAAAGGGATAAAGAGAAAGGCAAACAAACAGCAGAAAATAAAGACCAACGAAGCAGAACAATAATATTAGAAAGAGGAAGATTGCGAGAAAGACAGGGGAGAAAGAAAGAAGAGAAACAGGGGAGGAAAGGGAAAAAGAGGCGTGCTCGAAATTTCCGCCCCCTTGCTCTGCCGGACTTTACTGGTAGGTGCATCCAAGATGGTGTCCACTAGCCCCCAAGCCACAACCCCCATAGGTTCAATGGAAATGCAGCCACTACCTTGGCCATTTGGGTATACACCTCGTGGAAACCAGCGCAGGCGTGTTTGATGAGAATGACAATCGCACCTTTGAAGAGGGCGAGTTCATAGCAATGCTGCAGGTTTGGACGTTCGGGCTCGGTCGGACAAATTCCTGCGGCTACCGAACTGTCGAAGTTTTCCCACAGAAGGCAGGGGGTCCCAATTCCACCCAGTGTTGGCGCATGGGAGAGGGGCACCGGTAGTCTATTCTTAGTTTGGGGGCGAGCAGAAGGGGCCGGACCACATTTTACGGGGGGCTCACGCGATTGTCGCATGTCTTGGGTAAGCTAAACATTTGTCCGGGGTTAATGTCCTTGAATACATAGGGCTCGGGTCGACATGTGTTGCTTTCCTGGCCAACTTGGGCTCAGGACATGACCGTTGCACTTCCCGAAAAAGCAAGCGGACTCACTACGTAGTTGTCCCATGTCCAGTCCGGACAACACCATGACAAGTCAAGCTCGTTTGTTGAAGCTTGAGATCGCATGGCCAAAGCAAGCTATTTGCTCAGTGCAAGCATGGAACCTGAACGGATGATTGATTGGGTTTCGCACAATGCTTTTCCTATGTCCGTGTGTCAAAACCACGGGTCCGATTCGGAAATAGAGCCAACATGATCAAAGAGAACCAACATTTGGAGGGCCCCTGGTCCTTGCCTTTGACACCTCTGGGTCAATGTTTGGCAATTAACATCACCGAACTCAAATATCACAAGTATTGATGACAGAAAAGACTTGAATTCTAGGCCTGACGAAGGCACTTGGGAAACCGTCTAAAGTGCCAAGACTTGATGGACCTCGGCCCCGCCACATGTTCAGACGAGTGGGGGTCCATGATTTTTCTCGGGGGTGTCAAAGCCAAAAAAGGGAACACCAATTTCCCACATTGTTGGAGTTGTTGCTAGTTACTCTGGTTGATTAGTAATTATACCTTTTGGTTAATCCATATCCCTAGACTTTTGAGCAGCGCCTAAACCGACTGATTTGGTTCTACCAAAGTGGTCAAGAAGCTTCAACAAGCCCATACGCGCCCTCACTATTATGTTGACACAGGATTAATTAATACTCCCCGGGCCCCTTGCTGATTTGCGAGGGAATCCGGATCACTGTTTGGGAAACAATCATCTTCTAGGTTGATTGATCCGGGGTTGGCATGACAGACATAATCAACCCATGAGGCAAGTAGGCCACCCCGACTTCCAATTGACATGTCCAAAGTGTGCGTTCGACCTGGCAGTGCGCTCCCCAGTCGTCCAAGTGCCTTGGGCCGTACGAACGTCGTGCTGATCCAGCCACAAATAACATCCCTACCCCAACACTCTGAGGATTGCTCACTCTGAGGATTGGTCACAGACCCAAGGACACTGGGCCTTGCTGGCCGGTCAGAAAATGTTTGCAAGGTCGCCGCCCCGAAGTGTCCAAGCCCAACAGGGCAAACCTGCGGCCCTGCCCGGGGTTTGCCTTTCAACCCTCCTTCGCTTGGCGCACACCTGGAGGTGCACATCTGGAGCACTCCCAAAAATACATGTTCTGATTGTGCTTCATAGTTAGTTTGCCCTTAAGTATGGTACAGTTCTGGAGGAGACCCCATGTTGAGAGAAATAGGGAGGGGGACAAGATAGGAGAGAGATGAGATAAGCCAAACCTCTATGATTTTCTCTTTGCTTGGCTTTCATCTCTCTATCTCTTACCATATCTGTTTCCTTCTGTCTCTTCTCTTATCCATTCCCAAGCTAATAGCTGATAAAGGGAATGGGAAGAGAAAGGAAAATGATAACCAGCCAATAATTTCCAAATCTTTAGATTGGCTGGTCTCATCTCTTTCTATCTCTTTCATATCCTCCTTTCCCCACCAACCCATACAAATGTGGGAAACCATAGTGGAAACCAGCCTGGCAAAATATGTGGAACTCCTCCTGGCGGCTGACAGGGGCAACACCCGGTTGGGCTGGCTGTTTTTGTTGATGACCGGCTTTCCATATGGTTTGGGAAAAGTTTGGCATATTTTCAGTACACTTTCGGTGGCGGTCCAACATCCTGTGGCATGCCTGGCCAGCTCCACCTAACCCACGACAAGGCTCACTTTCCATGATGCCGGAGTGGAACACAGTGCCTGAAACATACCCAAAGCCTGGGAAAACGACCACCCACACTTTTGATGCTTGTTGCGGGGGCTGACAAAATGGCAGCCCTCTTGACAAGCTCCCCATTTCCCTTTAATTGTTGTTGGAGGGGACCTGCTAAGTTTTCGTCAAGCCAACCGGACACAACAAGAATGTGACAGACACGTGTCCCGTTTGCAAGCCACGCGTTTTTTTCTCTTTCTCTCACGATGTGTAGCGCCTCTCTGAACAGGCTGTCTTCACTGGCATGGCGTCCGTCTTTGGGATGCTCGCCAACAAAGATGGCATGCCCTCTACGCAACGACGCTTTGGCTGAACTGGCAAAACCTCAAACCTGACAGTCAGAGCAGCAAACAACACAGACCCCCGTTTTACATTCACCAGGTTGATCAATGCAGAGCCGACAGGACCGGAGAAAAGCAAAACAACCAGACTTTGGTCCTCAAAAGGACAAGTACATGATGTTTGGAGGGGGGGTAGAGCTTAAAGCGACCCCTCTGTTTGCTCCACAAAGATGGGGAAACAAGGAAGCAGGGACTGGGGAAAGCGTTCGGGATGGAAGAGCTTTTGGGACAACATTGATAGCAGACTTGAGACTTGGGGGATGGCTTGCCAGCCATACTCCCAGTTTTTCAGCGACTAGAAAGGGTCAATCTCAACAAGACGATTGCACAAGGGGCGAATATTGGCAGCACCTAGTGTCGGCAAGAAACCATCCCTTACTAAGTTCGTCCAAAATCAAACTGACTCAACCTTTCCAACTTTTCTGTGAATATCGAAATACCCCCCCTCCCCACCCACCCACCCCCAGCCACACCCAGCCACACCCAGCCGCACCCAGCCACACCCAGCCACACCCAGCCACACCCACTCACACTCCCCCACCCCACCCACCCCACCCCACCCCACCCCACCCCACCCCACCCCACCCCACCCCACCCCACCCCACCCCACCCCACCCCACCCCACCCCACCCCACCCCACCCCACCCCACCCCACCCCACCCCACCCCACCCCACCCCACCCCAGCCCACCCCACCCCACCCCACCCCACCCCACCCCACCCCACCCCACCCCACCCCACCCCACCCCACCCCACCCCACCACCCCACCCCACCCCACCCCACCCCCACCCCACCCCACCCCACCCCACCCCACCCCACCCCACCCCACCCCACCCCACCCCACCCCACCCCACCCCACCCCACCCCACCCCACCCCACCCCACCCACCCCACCCACCCCACCCACCCCACCCTGTGCGAATCGCTGAGGTTGCCGTGCTGTGCCTTGCAACCAAACAATAAAAGTGCCTTGCAACAAACAGAGATCCATGTGCTGTCATGGTACCCCCAAACCATCCGGGTTCACACCGAACCCGGGTGACCGGCTGTGTGCATGTATGAAAGGATGTAAAACGCAAAGAAAGAACAGTTTAGCGCCCATGAATTTCAGTGTTTGATGACAACACTAGCTTTTGGTCGCCAATTGTTCATGGATTATCCATTGAAAATCATTGGGTGGGCACAATGAAAAGCGGGGTCGAGTATTAGTGGCCGAGTGTTAGTATACCTGGGGCAGTCCCATGCAGAAATAGCTGCGGACGTTTGCCCTGCGATTCTTTACCATTTATTTTGGGCAGGCTCCTCATACTGAGTCTTGAATGTGACTCATGTGGGCGACAGGCGAAGCGGAGTGGACGTCTATCGTGGCTTTGTAAGTACGACAAGGGGGCCCGAAGCGGAACAAAATACATAAAAAAACATACCTCAAACTATTTGTTGCTCCACGTTGTCGTGGGAAACCAAGCAAATCCGCGAGCTGCCAAAAAGGCTTCCCTGACGCACCCTGTTTCTTTTCCACCCGGTGAGTCCTGCATAAAACATGGAACAAACCCGACAAAGGCATGGCTTCCTTTTCTACCTGGTTGCAACATAGCCAAGGATCTTAATTTTCCTCACAGCAAACCAACCAGGAATATTCTCATTTTTTTGGCCCCCCCCCAGTGATTCCGGTTCCCTATAGAGTAACCAAGACATGTGGCCAACTACTCTGGTGGCAAAAAGGGAATCCACTAGTTTCCCTTTGACAAGCAGACATTTCAGCTGTGGGGCAAAACAAAGGGTAATTGGGATCCATTGGCAGGTGTCCCTAGATGTCCCTTATAGACTTAAGTATATAACTGTTTTGTCCGTTTGCTTATCGGGCTTCCTCCATTTTTCCTTTTAGCCAGCAAATGTTAAACCTTTTGCAGGGGGTCCAAAACTCTGGCCGGGTTTAGCGCCCAACCACATGGGTCACCGGTTGGTTGCTGGCCAGGAATGGAGTGCCTGGCCAAACGCCTGTTCCAGAGGCGACTGGTTCGCTGAAGCGGAGCTGAGGGTTAGACGAAAACCGAGAGCCGGTTCTTCAAGTATTCTATGTGTGCGCAGGGTTTATCCCACCTGTGAGACGTGGGGTTATCTGGGACAGTAGGGTATACCCCACTGATCCATCTAGGTACCTCTATTTCGCATTCAGAGAGGTCGAAAGTTGGACAAGTGTGGCAAAGGCGGCGCAGGGTTTGGTGCAGAGTTCCCTACATCTGATCTTTTGTGTGTTAAACATCTCTCGGAGCCACTTGAAGCGAGTGTTGCGGGGTGATGTTTGAAGAATTGGATCACTCTGGATGGACAAAACATGACAAAACCCTGCAAGTTCGGATGGATGAAACCTACAAACCATTTGCCTGGTGTAGGATTTTGTCGATCAGTTCCCCCCCTTTGAAGTGTTTGGTTTTAATCTGGTACGGGACAGATACACGACACCACGTTGGCCTTAGTTGGCCTTAGTGCCAGGATCTCCGACTCCAGTGGCAGTCTGGGCAGCGAGTCCTTATCCTTCTCAGTGATAGAGGAGGGGATGGGCGCAAAAAATACAGAAAATTCAATGGAAGCGAAGCCAAAAGCAGGTTGTTTTAGTTAGGCACGTAGGAGTTTCGTCAAGTTCGGGGAGTTAGTCAAAGAGTAACCCCAGTTACGAGGGTGTACGGGAGGTCATTTGAGGCCAACCGGGGGTTACCTGAGGGTTAGCTGGGTACTACTGGCCACTTACAGCGCCCAAATCCTTTTTAGTAGGTGGTTTCTTCGACCTTCAGCTGACCAGGATCGAACAATACGTCAATCGGGTTTCCTCCACATCAAGCGTTGCTCCGAGCGTTAGGATGACCAAACCACACGGGGAGAACAGTGGCATATGACTTTTAAGAGGGCATTCTAGTGAAAAGCAAGATTGCTCAGACTTTCTGTTGGCCAATCCACTCGGTTGAGACTACTCTCTTGATCTACCAATGTCTGTGTTTTTATTGAGTTCCTTCTGATCTTCTGGCGCCCGGAAGGCCAGTCCATTCAGAGGGCTCCTTGTGGCTCCTTCACGACACTGTGTATTTTTTTACATGGAACCCAAACAGATTCCCCGACAAAGAAGCTTAAGTAAGGCTTCAAGGATTTGTCAGGAGGGGAAATGCTTAAACATGTTTGGTGGACAGATTTGTCCATGTGACTGATATCCACCACAGGTCCCGGGTTAGTTTTCAATACCCAACAAATTGATTTACGTGCCTTTGGTTGGATTGTTTTTATTTCCGTGCACCCACGCCCCGGTGAGGAGTGGTTCCTCGGGGAGACGGATGACCCGCTCAATGTGCCTTTCGCTCTCTTCATGGAACGGCATTCTACGGTAAGCGGGGAAGATGATCCCGAGCTCTTCGAGGATGAAGATAGGACCAGGGTCCGCAGAAGTTGTTTTTCTTTTCGGCGATAGCAATCTCCTGGAGTAGTTTGGGCCAAGATGTGCAATCCATCTCAGTCAGATCCAGGAAGTTTCGGCTGTCACACACTGCTCCGGTGGACCCGCCCATGGAGACCTCTGCATCCTTGGACTCCAGCTTCATAGGTCGACATGAGACTGTGATGGCGCGCAAGGTGTTTGACCTCTGCGCCTCGAATGCTTTGTCAGCACCCGTTCGTTTGTTCCAACCCCGAACCGACATGTGTTTAAACCACACTAATAGTAACAATGATATTTGTTGTATCAATACTACTCGCAATTATTAAATTAAAGTTTGTTCAAATAAATAATACAACAAGTTTAACAATTTTAGTTTTTAAACACTCATAAGTTATAAAAGCGAGTTGTCAACATATTATATAATATATATATATATATGTATATGTATAGCTCTCTGACATAGCAGCTGGCAAGGGGTCTCTTTGTGAGGAAACGGCTCTTGCCGAACCCTTTTACAGGTGCTATGCTTGCGGTAGGGAGTGGACAGATTAAAAAAGATGTGACCAACGAAAGGCTTCAGGGACCTCGTTTAAATTTGGTTTACATTTTGAGGTTCGCGAAGTATTCTGAAGTAGGGCCAGAGAGCGCGCTTACCTGGGGTAACAACAAGCTCAGGGCCCCTGACCCAGGAGGGCTCCCCAATTATCCCTGCTGCCCCCCGCCATTTTCTGTTGGAACCCATTGAACAGGTCACCCACCTTTAGGTGTATGTTGCCTTCGCTTTTTCGGAGGCGTGTCACTTGGCAGCTTTGCAGTGACCCACTCCGACGTGGAGAAAGAGCTGAAGCTGACCATCGATCCGAGCCTCAACACGAATCTGCCTACGAGCTAACCTGGTAAAGCGAGCTCGCCATTTCCGGTTTTGGAAGTAGAATTCACAGACAAATGTGCAGTTGATGTCCTGCATAAGGCGTTGTCGTTTTTGGGAGTTGGGACCCTTTTGCTGCTTGTTTTCCAGAAAAAAAAGCAAGAGAAACAGCTAATTTATGGGGGACGCTTACTTAAAGACAAACCCATATTGCAAGTTTGGAACTAGGCAAATTCCTTGATATTCTAACAGTTTGTCAGGTTGTGTGGTACTATCGGATGGTCATATCAGTTGCCGACAATAAACAAATGCACATCCACTGTCAATTTGAGGAGGATACGCAGGTTGCTGTTGCGTGTGTTTTTGGAAATTCATTGTAAGTGTGTAAGTTGCTCACGTGTCACTAGCAGCTATTTGGCGAATTATGGCGACCCAACGTGTCCACCACAGTCCCTGAATTTGATTGGCCTTTGAAGATGGAAGAGGAGCGCAGGGCCAAGTGGACCACCCCCTGATACGGGTTTGTCTCAGAATAAGTGGAACCCTCTAAACAGGTCCGATCCCTCTAAGCCGACCCAAAAAAAGGTACCTTCAAAAAAAGACAGACCCATTTACATTTGTAGTGATCTGTTTTTGAGGACCAATCAACCCACCAGCGTGAGGTCAACTGCATAGCACAATGTTGACCTTTTTTCTCATGGAACTCCATGCTGAGGAAAAAGCAAATGCAGACTGCTTCAAGCGTCAGCTAGTCTTGTTGGCAGCACATGGCGGTTGCAGTGATTTGCACAACTGAACAATTCGGCAAGTTTTCTACAGACTTCCCTATATAGCGCCCCCGTTCAAAGTCTGACATTATGTTGACCTTGCTTAGGCGCAATATGTTATTGCTTTTGTATGGAACCTCACTTCCTGAGTTCACGGACTTTAACACTTTGTGGACAGATCATGTCGTGGTAAACAAAGGTGCAGATGTGTTTTGGCAGTGCATGCATGAAATGGGGAACCCATGTATTTAGACCTTAATGTCGGCCTACGTTGGTCTTACTAGGCTGAGAGCTACATAGCCCATAAATTTCTCCAAAGGAACACCCAAAGGGATGAGTCCCAGTGGTGCCCTGCCCAAGGCGCCTGTGTTTGCTCTTGCGACTGCCAGGGATTTTTGGATCGGCAAGCTGCACCGTGCACTGGACGAGATGGATAACTCCCGGAGTAACGGGGTGCCGGCCTTGGATGTTCATGGGGTTCCTTTGGGTTCGGCCGTTTGGGTTCGGGGTGTCTCAGGTATCCTTGGGGCAGCTTTGAGTTCCTTAGCATTTCTTAGGCATCCTTAGGGTTCCATAGGGTTCCTAAGGGTTCCTTTGGTGGCAATTCTTCCCAAGACTTGAAGCTGAACGGTCAGAGGCCAATGTTGCCAATCGTCATTTAGTGAGTTGTCCCACCGAGGGGCTTTTGTGAGCAATGACGGGTGTTGTCGGGGGAGTCAGTTGGCTTCTCCAAAGAACTGCAGACCCCTCAACTTGGTATGCAGTATTGAAACACCAAGCACTGTTGTCTTTTTGATTCTTCAGGTACTCACTTTCCCAGAAAGGGGCAGTGTGTTTTCTTTGGTCGGTGCATAGATTGGCCCTTAGCCTTGTTGATCGATCGTTTCCGCTACCCCGCCTAGTCACTAAATATTGGCTGTGTTGTATCCCATTTTGAACCCGGCGGGGGGGGGGGGGGTAGGAAGCCTTCATTGATTTGAGCGCCACACCCCTCAGATACGCGAATCCAGGAAGAACTTTGGGCGCCGAATCCACCTCGGCATCATCCCAAACCCCGCTTGGTCGTTTTAGACAAGTTTACTCATCGGGCGAGCAACCTTTTGCCCACTTTACAGAAACTTGTCAATGAGTTTTGGGTGCTGCTCACTGGTGGATTTGACCGGTGTGTTCTCTTTCGGGCGGCTCTGTTGGGAACATTGCTTCAGTGAACAGAACCGACGCTTTTCGTTCTTTTGGCAAGGGTCCCCGGCTTGGCGCCCTGCGCGTTTTTTCTTCCACAAAGAGCGTGGCAGACTCCGAAACCACACAAAAAATGAAAGTTGCGCGATGACCCGTTGAAATCAATGGCGCTAAACCCCTTTTCAAAAGCCGTCCACACCTAATCGGGTTTCGCCTTGCGAAAGGTAAAGACCAACCTCACAGCCTTCTTCAAGAAGCTTTGTCCACGAGCTGCGGCCAGACATCTGCGAATGTTCCACAATTGGCTGAAGGAACAGTGAGGGGGGCCAGATAAGCAATTCCAAAGGCGCACCACCTTTTCTGTTGTGCTTGCGTGTCTGTCTGCGCGTTTGTTTCTTTGCTTGTTGTTTGTTTGTGCGTGCGTGCGTGCGTGCTTGCGTGAGTGCGTGCGTGCGTGTGTGTTTGTGGAGGACGCCTCTTTGCATGTTGGAGCCTTTCTTGAGGTTCCAGCTCACGTGGTCCTCGGGGTAACACAGCCAAGCCCCATGAGTCAAACGGGGCTCCTGTCTTTCCAGTTTGGGGATCACTGTTTTTTGACCAGATACTGTATGCGGACGAGTCTTGAGGGTACCTCTTACGGAGACGATGGTTTGGAGCGCAAGGTTTGAAGGCTCATGCGGGTATGTCTTTCTTGGAGTTGCTACCTTTTATGGGTTGTAGTCATGTGAACTCAAGGAAAACCGAAACCAACCGAGGCCCCCCAGACTATGAAGCCTTGGTCATGTTGCGCCCCTTTGGTCGCTGATGTCCAGCTCTTTTAGAAACGTGCCAGCACAAATTTCATGCGGAGAGACTAGGCTACAACTGAATGCTCATTAGCTCAGGGTGAGAAGCATGACAGATTCTTGAGGGCGAGGTTCCCAGGCATGCCAGACAAATCCCTACCACGGTTCTTGTTTTGCCATGTGTGTCAATGACCATGGATGATTGAATACAGAAGCCAGACAGCCGTCTTTCAGGATTCCAATCACGGGAACCATGACCATGGCCCGTAGAGGGGAGTAGTTCATGTGTTGTTTGCATAAAACGTCCAGCGGTCTGAGAACTCACAAAATGTCCCGCAAAACCAGGGGACTTATTCATTTCTCCATGTGGGTGTTTCTCAAAATTGGGGACCATTGGAGACCCAGGTTGGTAGCTTGCTTTTGGCTTCCCTTTAGAACCAATTCACAAAAGGGTCCCCTATTTTCAGAAACCCCCGTGTTCTTTTGCGGAAGCCTCAGCAATTTGGACCGTGCCTGTGAAGGGAGGCGTTGCCAGGAGTACGATCAGTTGATCCAGCTTCAGGATACCTTGCAACTGCCGCTTTGGCGGTACAGTTCTTCAAGCGGGTTGCTTGAGAGGTTAAGGTTGCTCCTCCGGTACAAAACTTTGCTTGGGAATCGGCGGGTTCACTTTATTGGCCAAGATTCTAGTCATTGGATCAAGCCTGTCAGTTGAAGAGAGCACTGCGATACCAAGGTGATCCCTTTAAAGATTCGCCCTAGAATTCCATTTGTAAGTCCATGTCCATGTCCGCTTTTGCGGGAAAGACGACAGAAATGGGATTGGGTGACCCCCCCCCCCCCCGCTCTCCTCAAGGCAGAGGCGGTGGAGGGGATCTTGAAAGTGAACAATAGGGACGGCCCAGCTCAGTGTAAGGCGCACGCAACTGCAGATGAAGTGCAAACCAGGCTCCAATTAATAAGATCTAATCACAGTTTTAAATGAGCATGCTATTTAACAGTTACTATTTGAGCTGGATGTTTTTGTTCTTTTGATTCGCAAGCATGTGAGAACTGTCCGAGCGCGTTGGATTCCTTTCTGGGATTTGTAGTTCATGTCGGCTTCCTTTGAGGAAGGGCACAATCGATGTGCTGTCAAAAGTTTTCAGGGTTTTCGAACAGGGGTCCCCATATCTGTTTTGTGGTTTTCAAGATTGCTTGTTTGGCCCATGGAAGCTGACTTTCCCTTGGTGATAAAAAGCATCTCGGGAACCCTGTTGGAAGGCGGCACATCTCGCCAGACACCAGCTTGCTTTTGGCCTGGTCAAAGCTGAGGAGATTTTCAGGGACTGTCCCCTGGCAACACGAAAGCCATGGAATGCGGGATTCGAGACAAGCCACTTATTTTGGTTTGGGATGGTTTGGGGCAAAAACAGCCCCGCACATGCCAGCGAGCCAGCGGGAGACCATTTGGGGCAAGGCGTCATCGCAAGTGTCGGAAAAGCAATAGGAAACCTAAAGGACACCCAAACAATACCACTGTACTACATATCCATTTTATGGAAAGCCCATGTCTTGCCGGCCCCGTTTTTTTCCGACTCTCAACCTGCTTTTCTGCGTCCTTAATCCAGAAGATAAAGAGAATGTGTGGTTGGAACAACAGGTCCCATTCCTCTAAAGATGTCAATGTTGTTTTAGTCCCCCGTGCAACAGGTTCTAATATGTTCTAATGCACGAGTTCGCCAAAGGGCCCATTTGTTAGAGCCCATGCAGTGTGGGGTTTCAAAATTATGGATTTAAGCTAATTTCGAGGTCCGACCCGTGCACTTAAGCCCTGCTCCTGTGTTCGCACCTCTGATCGGAGCACATGTCAGAACCGGGACACAATTGAATGTTTGTTTTTGTTTTTGGGCACTCGTGAAAACAATGCCAAAACCGGCTGCGCTTTAGAAAGTGCATTTGGCAGCAACAATGGATGCAAACGCCTTCGTCAAAGCAATTCACTACTGGAAGGGCAGCCTGTCAAATCCTGTGGGGTCACTGCGTTGCGTTTTTTTAATGCTGAATTACCCGGGGGGCAAAATCGCTGAGTCAATAAATCCTTAAACAATACGGGCCCGTGCACTTGAGAGTCGGCCCGTTTTCTGAAACCACGGAACTTTGCTTATTTTCAGAATTTGCAAGATTCGGTGGCTCTTTGTGTGACAAGAGCATGTTTTTGTTGAAACATTGAGCAACCTTAGCATGGTGGGACCGAGCCGTGTCGCAATCAAAAACGTCGCATGTCAGAAGTGCACAATGTTGTTGTTTTTCGCCGTGGTGGCACATATTGCCAAATGGGGAGCGATGGCAAGGATTAGTGGGAATGCATGGATGATGGTTGATAGTTTATAGCTTAGAATGAAGGCCGTGAGAATGGGGCTCAGTTCAGCGCGAAGCATATGGAGATGGTGCTGTAGTCAGGGCAGCTAGTAATCAAGGGGGAGCTCCTGCCTTGATCACCGGGCCACATTCCATAAGCACGGCCAGCCAAGAATGTTAGTGCAGCCAAATTCCGTTGAGTGCAGACGAATTTCCTTTAGCACGTGCAGTAAAATTGTTGTGGTGCAGCCGGAAATTCCTCATGTGCAGCCAAAGTTCCTTAAGTGCACCCCCCCCCCCCGAATTTAAGCTAATTAGCCGGCAGCCAAAATTCCTTAAGTGCAGCCAAAGTTCCTTGAGTGCAGCCAACATTTCCTGCAAATGTTCGGTGCAGCCAAAGTTCCTTAAGTGCAGCCAATATTCCTTAGGTGCAGCCAAAATTCCTTAAGTGCAGCCAAAATTCCTTAAGTCCCGGAAAAAGATTCTTAAGTCCGGAAAAATCCTCAATTCATTCCCGCCAACGGACAATTTTCCGGAAAAATCCTTAATTCCGGATTAATTAGCTTAAATTCAGGGGGGGGTGAACTTAAGGATTTGGCCTTTGCCCGAGATGAAGTTCGGGGTGAAATTAGTGTTTTTCAAGCTACAAAACGTTATTTTGGCAATGAAAAACACTAATTTCACCTCGAACTTCATCTTGGGCAAAGGCAAAAATCCTTAAGTTCACCCCCCCCCCCTGAATTTAAGCTAATTAATCCGGAATTAAGGATTTTTTCCGGAATTAAGGATTTTCCCGGACTTAAGGAATTTTGGCGGGAATGAATTAAGGATTTTTGCGGAATTAAGGATTTTTGTCCGGACTTAAGATCTTTTTCCGGCACTGATGGAGTTTTACTTGAGGATTTTTTTCCGGGACTTCAGGAATTTTGGCTGCACTTAAGGAATTTTGGCTGCACTTAAGGAATTTTGGCTGCACCGAAGGAATTTTGGCTGCACTTAAATTTTGGCTGCACTTGGGGAATTTTGGCTTAAGGAATTTGATCCGCCCTTTAGCCGCACTGAAGGCATGTTGGTTGAGCCTTGCGCTAAACTTTTGTTGGCTGTGCCGAAGTAAAAGTCGCTTACGCTGCGGCGTATGTTGAATCTCAAGCCGGCAGAGCAAAAGTTGTGAGAATGCTGGTCTCGCAGTAAAGGCAAGCCGGATAATTGCTTGCGTGACAGTAGCAATTTGCACCGTCTCTTGATTCATGGGCTCAGTTGTTGATGTTCCCATTCACCTCAGTTCCACCTTACGCCACTTTGTTTGATGTATGGGCCTGCCTTTTTTGACCTTGAAACACGTGAGTACATGTTTATTTGATATTGGGCCTTGCTGCAGTGAATTGTTTGGATCCATGGGTGTTTCCGTGGGGGTTCTGACGAAGGCTGGCGCTGAAGCTGGGGTATGTGCTGCGTTTTTCATTGCTGACATCGCCAAATCCCGAAAACATGTCTATCCTCACCAATTGTTCACACCCTGCTTCAATCGGGCTAAACGCGCCAGAAACGTGCTTAAGTGCAGCGGGCGACCTTGATAATTAGCTTACATCCATAATTTGCCCCCCACAAACTGATTCCCTCAAATGGTCTGGTCTGAACGCCACTGACAGTGTATACTGATTTTGCTCTGGTTTGCAACATGTGTGATCTGAGTCAGAAAATGCAAAAAAACTTTCGCCGGGTGTGAGTCTCAAACGCTCCAACAAGGCAATGACATCAAGTCCGGATTTTGCATTGTTCCAAAAATAAATAGCCTTTTCGGGCTGTTCAGCTTCGAAAACACAGAAGTTTGAAAACCATTGGGTTTCAGCAACACTGAAAAAAGCCCCACCCTTAAGTACACGCCCCCCCCCCCTTAAATCCATAATTTTGAAAGCCCTTTTCGGGCTGTTCAGCTTCGAAAACACAAGTTTGAAAACCATTGGGTTTCAGCAACACTGAAAAACCCCACCCTTAAGTACACGCCCCCCCTTAAATCCATAATATTGAAAGCCAACAACCATGCAGGGTCACCCAATAGATGGCACAAGTCGATACGTAAAGGGGATGCAAAAGAAAGCGCAAACATGGGACCTAAGGAGCCAGAAGAAGCTTCGGATTCTGAACCAGTACACATCACTGGATCCCCTGCCGGCACCCATTCGGCAAGAGCTGTTAATCCAAATTGGATTCAATCGATCGGGTTGAAGAATGAAATACGAATATGGGTGTGGATCAACACCCAGGTGCTTTTTGTGGAGCCTTCTTCCCCTTGCTTTGGTCCATCTTAGAAAAGGGAATCTGGAGGTAGGGGCGGGAGGTACCAGTATTTGACCCACAGCCATATTGGCATGGGAATTGCTCAGAAAAATTGGCCGCTTTGTCTTTGGGTATGTTTTTCTTGGTGGGGAACCAAATAAGAACCAACCAATTGAAGGAATTGGTCGCTAATTTTGAGAAAGGAAGTCTCGCCAAATGGCGATTTTCTTGCTTCCTCTTGAAACAACGCCAAACAGGCACCCTCCAGAAACATGGCAAACAACCAGGAACGCGGTTCAAGTTCCTATGGGGGACATTTCCAGGTCCTTCAGTTCCGGGTGGCTAGTTGATACTTGTCCTGGCGGTCCCGGCTGCAATCACCTTCCCAGCGGCGACAGCTCTGGGTTCTTAGCCAATGGGTTTGTGGCCGGCTGAGGCGGGTTCCTACAAAAGGAAGGTTTGAGGTTGGCGGGCGCTTTCCTGAGGTCTTCGATGGAACAAAATCAGAAAAACATATTTGAAAGTGTACCGGCTGGTTGGGCAAAGTTTCAGGGAAGTCATGGAAGAATGAGTATTGACTCAATTTGTTGGGAATACTCCTCGGCAAAGCAAAAGGGCGCCACTCGTTGGGACGCCAAGGTGGGGGGGCGAATTGGTTTCGGATCTGGATTCCATAAGAGAGCAGGGAGCCAGTGACGACTCTAGCCATTGTTGCCAGGGCACATCAGTTCTGCACGAAAATCAGATAATTCACATTGTTATGCGTTGGCCTGTTGAAATGGGTTCACGCAGGGAAGCCTCGCAACTACCCATGGGAGGTTCTATTATCCAGCCGTCTATCACTCACGATTTTGACCACCGAAACATCCAGGAGGCCCTGCAGGTGCCTTTGGTAGAGGCTTAGTTGTCCTGTTGTTGTCGCCCTCTTTACGATGCGCCGCTGCTCACTGGATCCTCTGCTCCTCGCAGACTGCCCCTGCCCCTAGCGGATGTAAAGCTGTATTCCCGACGCCTTGTACTGTTCTGTCCTCACTGCGCGGCCGTACTTTGAGGGTCGGCCCAACTCGGACTTCGCCAGTTCCGGCTATGGTGCACTGATTCTTTGGCAGGCTTCTGGCGGTGCGTGCGGTGCTGGTCCCTGTTCTTCGCTGGAATGCACGGTGTCTACTAATACCCTTCCGGCTCTGCATGCTGTTTATGGGTTGTGCTTTACGCTGTGGCGCGCCTTGACTTTATGCTTTGGCCTCTTTCAGTGGCAATGCGCAGTTTTCCACCTGGTGATGGCTGAGAATAGTATTTACACTCGACAGACTTGTCTGGATGGGTTCGCTCTTTGGATGATTTTGCAAATTCTTTCGATTTGATCTGATCTGCGTTATCGGGTGATATCGGTCCTTAACATGCGGACGTGTCTGGATCTACGGTCATGTTGACATTTGTGTGTGGGAAAGTTCTTTTCCCTATACTGGGATAATCATCCTGTTGGAATGCTGCTTTATTCACAGTTTGTATGTCACATTTTAGTCGGGCTGCCACCCTTGATGGGGCTTTTGTTGGCCTCGGCTGTCCTTTCCCAGGTTAAGGTATTCTGCACCTGTGCTGGAACCAAGAGAAATCTTATGAAACTGGCGCAACGTTTCTCAATCCATGAGACTGGTATAAAACTGCAAAAATGGCCATGCTAAAGGTGAGCCCCTCTGTGGCTAAAGGAATCAAATAATTAAAGTGAGGGGCCTTCCCACCACCCATGAATCCTGCCAAAAAGCCTGTGGAAGCAAAAGCCCAACCCGCAAGCAATCAACCGCTGAGAAGTCAATAGGGGGGAGTCTCCCCACCAAATAGGTACAGCCGCCCTTTCAGTTCTTTACATTAGTTTGGTGGACCCCTGGGAGCTCAACAGAGATGAGGCTTGGTTGAAATGTCCAGCAGTATATGGTGCATTGAGGAGGGACATCCCTCCAAGTTCCCGCAAACCAGCAGACTCACTCGGTTTCCCACGTGCTACGGTATCAGGCTGGCAGGCCTATGCATATGCAAGGCCTGCTCCGGGTCCTAGTCTGGGAAACCCGCATGCCTCCCCTGCAAAAAAAATCACAAGGGTAGCTTGGGATCAGGGTCATGCCAACCAACCCTGTGTTTAATCATTTAACTTTTGGTTCCCTTCTTAACCTGGGGTTCGGTTTGAACTCGGCCTGGGATGGCTTGGGGTACCATGACAGAGGGGCACTTGTGTAGGTTGGTTGAAAGGCACAGCACGGGAACATCAGCGATGCGCAGAGGGTGGGGTGGGGTGGGGTGGGGTGGGGTGGGGTGGGGTGGGGTGGGGTGGGGTGGGGTGGGGTGGGGTGGGGTGGGGTGGGGTGGGGGGGGTGGGGGGGTGCGTGGGTGGGTGGGTGGGCGGGCGGGCGGGCGGGTGGGTGGGTGCGTGGGTGCGTGGTTGGGTGGGTGGGTGGGTGGGTGGGTGGGTGCGTGGGTGGGTGCGGAATGGGAGAATTTGATATAGTTGGAAAGGTTGAGTCAGTTTGATTTTGGACGAGTGGGTTTGTCCCCAAATTGGACATGAAACTTACTAAGGGATGGTGGCCCCTTGTGATTATTCAGTTGTGCTTGGTAGTCTACTAGCCCGTGGTATTGGTCGAAAGGACAGCTTTAGTTTCTCGTTAAAACCAACCCAAAAAAGAGACCCTTGACAAAAACATATCCACTGAGATTGTTTATGAAGTAAGCTGGCTTTAGGGACTGGGCAATTTCGGGGAATGGGATCCTGGATTCTGAGTGGTTGACGGCATAGCCGATGCAACAACAATAGACCTTGCTTCGTTGAAGCTATTCGAGGGCCTGCCTTTTGCGCCCCTCTCAGCCGGTTCTTTCGATTAGGGTTTGGTGCCTTTCGATTAGGGTTTGGTGCCCCGGGCGGTACCAACCTGGACCCACGATATTATGGACTTTCAATGGCGAACGCAATCAACTCTCAAAGTGGGCAAGGGCTCCCCCAAGAAGGAAAGTAGTTTCCAAAGCGCTGTCACCTTCCATGAATTGTTGGAGAGCAAAACTAAATTGTAAATTATAGTCATTGCAGACTGATTGGGGTTCTTGCATCATGCAAGGAGTCTGGGTTTTGTCGCAATCGCAAGGGAGAAGGCATCCGCCCTCAAAACAAGAGGCCAGCCGGATGTTGGCTGGGGTCCTGATCAATTTACTTGGTTTTTTGTACTGCGGCCACAGCCCAAAGGAAGGGGTTAAAGCAACAATATATGGATTCATACCTATTGCTTTTAGGCTATGGCTGGACCTTGTTGTTGCACTGGCCATATTTGCGAAATCAACCGTAAACCCGTGTGTCGGCTGCGCAAGACGGCCTTCGAATCTTCGACGAGTGATCTGTGAGCCATGCTCTCGCCAGGTTGTCTGACGATGTGCCATGCCTGCACATGGCCTCACGCAAAGGGAGAGTGACTGGATCCTCTTTCCCTGTGTGGGTCATGGTTCCAACAGCTTAGGTTCCAAAGCATTACCCTCCTAAAAGGAAGCTGAAGATACAAAAGGCCTTGCAATGGTCCAAACCAGGGACCATTCAAGTTCAGGTTTACGGAAAGCTAATCGGTTAGGTCCTTTGGTTCAAAGCTCATGGAAATTGGCGAAGCAGTCTTCATAGGGTTGAAGAATGCATCCAGGCACTTGTTTCTGCTAAATCAGCTAGTAGTTGGGTGTTTTGTCAGTGACCCTCATGAACTTGTCAAAGCAGAAACCCTACAACCGCCCCCCAAAAAAGACCTTCCACTCAAGGGTATGTGGCCACCTTCCATTCATATGGCAGTGTTTTTTTTGAGGGGTCTGTAACAGGGCCGCGGCGGACATTCGCTACAGACCTCGTTACAGACCTCATCAAGACCCGCTGGCTCGATACACACCCCTTTGTTACACACCCTCGTTACACACCTCAGATGAACAAACCACTTGGCTGGTTGCATGCCCCTCGTTACATACCCCAATGCATGCGCAGACTCTCAGTGATTTCCCATGGTGTCTGCAGAACAGACTTTTGCAGAGCATGCTTTTGCTGAAGAGTCAACTTACAGGGAGTTTGCTGTTGAGATGAAAAGCTGGAACGCGGCCGCTATACCTCGCACACACCTCGTCACGTAGCCATTACATACCTCGTCACAGACCCAACCCCAGCCCGGGCCCGCGACTCCCCTTTCTGCCACAGCTTGGCTTGCATTGAATAGCTGCGGCGTGCTTTGCGTACTGCGCATTGCCTTGCCTCATTTGCAGACCTCGTCACATAGCCGTAACATACCTCGTCACAGGCTCTTGCGTTGAATAGTTGCAATCAAGCTGGAGCTGCGGAGGCGTGCTTTGCGTACTGCACTTTGCCTTGCCTCGTTGCAGACCTCGTTGCGTAGCCGTTACATACCTCGTTACAGGCCCAACCCCAGCCCGGGCCAGCGACCCCCCCTTTTTGCCGCAGCCTGGCTTTGCGTCGGCAGTTGCAATTTGCAAGCTGGAGCTGCGGAGGCGTACTTTGCGTACTGCGCTTGTACTGAAGAGTTGCGACTTTCGAGCGGGAGCTGCTGCTCTTCGTTGTTCTGCGCTACATTTGTCTACTGGTACTGCCCTGACCTTCCAACGACGCAGGAAAACATGGTCGATCATGGTTTAGCAACATCGTCCTCATTTTGTCAAATCTTAGGTTTCGGCAGCTGACACGCACGTTTTCTGCTGTCCGCAATTGTTGCCACAAAGGCCATCAGTGGGCCCGCCACAGAGTACGCATGCGCTCACCGTTTCATAGGTAAGCTCCTGAACGTAGTCAACACTCGAAGGTGCTCAATCGATAATTGGTTCTTGCAATTGCACTTCTCCTGATCTTTGATTTGGCATGCTTGATTCTGAGGAGGGTCTTTTTCAGGATCGACTTGGACAGAGTGAAGCGATGAGAGCTTTGTGCGAGACCTGCCCAATCAATGTTTAGCAGTGAAAAGCTTCGCGTTTTGACACGCCTTTGCAGTATCTCATCATGTCCTCGTCGGCCATGCAATGCTCGTGCCGAGCATTGTAGCCTAGTGCGCAACCAATTCAGGAAACAACGCAACTGGAAAACCAATAGGCAAGCAGCGCCGGCGAACCATGTCTAATAGCTGGTGATGCAGCGCCTAGTCATGATGATGCAGCTGATGCACGCCAGGAACACATCGACTAAAACAGCCCATATGCAGCCAAGCTGCGTGACACTTTGGGATCTGCACCCATCTGATTTGGCCCCGCCTGGCACAGGCCAACTAGCACCGGCCGGAGCAGCTGCTGAGCTCAAGCCCCTAGAATCTGATCATCAAGGAATGCCAGCTGGTTATTTCAAAATCCTTATCCCCCCCAAAATTTGGCCACCTGGCCTGCCATAAATCCTGCACAGCTTTTTCGCAAGATTCAGGTACTTGTACCCGTGGGACTTGATGGTCACAGCTTCATCCACACTCCTAGAATTGCAAAAGCACATGCTGATTCGAACATCCTCCCATGACATGAAATCGTGGTTGCCACACGCATGATACTGGGGGTCAAGCAAGTATCGTCCAGCCCGTTCCATGGCCAAGACCATGTCGTTGCCAGACGCCCTCAGAGAGGCGGGCAGGGCCAAACTTGTGGCACTGAAGTCGTGATCCTATTGCGGTTTGAGTAAATTGCATAGTCTCATGAGCCAGGCTTCATGCACCCAGCCATAGTCATGTGCTCCTCAGAAGGCTGTTGCCCAGCAAGAGCCACGGCGCATTCTGCCAGCCAAGCTGTGATCACACGCCCGTTAAAGGCTTTGTGTGTCATCCAGGGCTCTCCATGAGAAAAGACCTTGCAGGTGCCAGCGCGCTATGGTCTGCCAAGTTGCCGGAAGCCCAAATGGAATGTGATTCAGGGACATGACACGCTGACATGATGTCTAATCAAGCCAAGCGGCCAGCGAAACTGTGAATGATGGCTGAGAACAAGAAACTTTGTTTCTTGTTTTCCATGTCTTAAAATGTTGAAAAGCTTCTCGAAGGGATTCTGGAAATGATAGCGAGGCGTCTGCGAAGAAGCCGGCCTCGATCAAGGTGATCCTTAGATTCCAAGGGGGAACCAAACGTGCCTTCTCAGAGACATGTTTGTCTAAAAGCTGGCATTTTGCTTGATTGTTTCTGAGTTGATCAAATCACTACCCAAACTAAGTGGAATGGGTGGAGTTTGCATTCATGAGTGTGGGTAACAATCATGTCAGGGAGGAATTGGGAGAATGTTGGAAAGCTCCAAGCCCACTGACCTGGCGAATTGGCTGAAAAGGGTTAACTGGCAGATTGGGTGAAAAGATATGTGTCCCAGCATTGATCCTTCCTGGTGTTGAGCTTTGAGGTATAATAATATATATATATATAAATATGGGTCCGCTACCATGACCAATACATTGGGAATAGGAATGAGGAATTGGAGCGCAGTCAATCAATTTAACCCAAACTGGTTTCATCTAGATCCAGCAAATGTGGCCCCATACAATGCCTTATCAGTGGGGCGCAGTGGGACCCCTCGCGTATGTGTTGCTGAGCCCTCCAATTCCAAATGCAGGCAGGAAGCAGGGCGGAGGCATTTGTTCTTTGGAATGTTCCAAGGTGCACATTGTGTGCAAAGCAAAATCGCACCATTGTGCAGTGAAAGCCAATGATTCCAAAAAGTGGACCTCAGAAGTGATCAGATTCAACATCAACAAGGGGCCTGCATGGCTTTGAATTATGAATCAGGTGATCTTGCTCACACTTGATTGAAGCAGTTGGCTAAAGAAATATCATATCGTAGTTAATTAGGCCATGTAGCACAAGGGCCCATCTTTGACCATGCTGTTCAAGAACTGCACGTGGCTGCTCTCATTGGACGTCCATGCTGCGTCATCAGAAAAATCCAAGAATGATTCCCCAAGATTGCATCGCAGTCTCTTTGCTGGGCATTTGAAACAAATGCAAATTGAATTCCACCTGTTCCGTAAATTCAGTGCAAACATATGCCATGCCCAATCCCCTCTGAGCTCCGTCAGTGCAAACTTGAGGCAGCCAGAAGGATGCTGGGCGCTCCTGCAGATGGGATCGCCCTCGCACGAGGCCCGCAAGTTCGGCGGGAGACTGCCCCCAAGGTAGCCAGCTGATGGCCGGTCTCCATTGTAGAGATGGTTTAAACACCAGCGCAGGTAGTCATAGATGGGCCAAATCGTGTTTCTCCCTGTGCTCATGCTTTCCCGGATCACAAAGACCAGGAACCTCGAATTTCGGGTTGACCGCGGGTTAAATAAAGGAAAAGACATAGTGATGCATACGATCTTCTCGCGGAGACCGCTGGAGGTAGTGTATTTGGCCTCGTCCCCATACAGGCCTATTGGCACGTGAGAACAACCATCCTCCACTGCTGGGTGCCCGGCACCCCACTCAAAGAATTGGCGGGCATGCTCCCAAAAGTAGGTGATTGCTGCTTCATCAATATGCAAGCCATGATCTTCGAAGAGGTATTGGACTAGGGACAGGACGTTCACAACTGGCAGGTGTTGCTTCTTGATCCCCATCCCCATCTCATGGAGGTCAACCTCTGTCTCTACACTGACCAAATCCTGAAAATGATGCACATGGCATCACTCTTGCAAACTGATACAAGTTACCATCAACCCATACGCACAGTTGATTGCACATGTGGGAATGTAACTCAGGACCCCGCAACAGGCAAAGCTGCCTTTGACCAGAAGTCCCGGGAAATGTTGGACCGTTCTCCGATTTTGGCCAGTTGCTGCACGCCAGGACTGAGATTGGCATTTCGCAGGCTGGCTTCCTGCAGGCGTGGAAAGACGATGGTGTGGGGATGGTTGGAGGCACAAATGAAATAATAACTCTTTGCACTGATGTGCCAGGCCTGTTGGGCTGCACTGGCATTTCTCGTGATGTTCTCTACGCTGGCCTTGAATTCGAATTAGCACTGGGACGCCACGCAGTGCAAGTGTGCCGCTAGGCCACCCCATCCCCAACCTGGGCCTCCAAGTAGTCCAAGAAAGGAGCATGACCAGTACCTGGAAACACTTGCTTGTGATCGTGACTAAGTCCCTGTTTATATAGAGGGGCAAGTGCGCCTTCAATCTGGATCGAACAAGTGCAGCAAGCTCAACAGCCATCGCTTCTTTTTTTTCCAGGATTCATGCCATCGATCAATCGAGATGCTGAAAAGCTGCTACAGAGCTATTCATTCCAAATGCAAATTTGCATGCGGTTGCCAGAAATCATTAACTGATCAATCCCAAAAGCACATGAATGGTCCAATTCTGCACATCCTAGCCAGGGGAACCACCCCCCAATAGGAAACATGCATGCCCTTTTGTTATCGCATAGGTCTCTGGCTATGGCTTGCAAACTTGCA